CAATCACACCCCCAAAGTTGACTTCTAGAGTTCTAGTACTTACAGGGCGTTTGGTTGGAGGGGGGAGGAATTATGTGGGAAAGGAATTGTAATTCCATGGGAGTTGAATGACTGGGAATAAAGTGGGAATTTAAATTCCAGTGTTTGGTTGATAGGAATAGAATTACTGAGAATTTTAATTCCAATGTTTGGTATACATGGGAATTGAAAGGGAATAAGTAGTATAAAGTCAAAAATGTCCATTGTTTTTGTTAGACATTAATTTTAGGTTAAAAAAGGAAGGGGTAATTTTGACTCATCACTATCTTTTTTTTCCAAGAATTAAAATACCAGGAGGGATATCGGATTTTAATTCCATGAAAATGGGGGAATTGCAATTTCATGGAATTGCAATTCCCTCCAACCAAACTACGGAATTTAATGACCTTTGGAATTAAGTGGGAATTAAGTGGGAAGGGAATTTAAAATCCCTCCAACCAAACGCCCTGTTAGTACAAGATACCAATCCAGTCATAAGTAACAGAAGATATAATGAGTTCCAGAAAAATGCCAGCAAAGCAATAAATTTTTTGAGATCGGGTACTATCTAAATTTTTCCTATATAAACATCTTCTCCATCTCTGTTTTATAATTGGGCATTGCCCCCTTTGAATATTGGTCACTTTTAAAGTAAAATAAGTGGTTATATATGTTAGTTAAACCGTTTAATTAATATTTGATGGAAATTGTATTTATCGTACTCTTTTTAAAAGGAGGTGACAATATAACCTCTATACATTTTTAACGTGATTATTACGTACGTTCTCCCTCCTCAATTCATTTTTTTATACATTAAAAACTAATTTTTCCCAATAGTACAGTGGTTCAATTATAGCCACTGAAAATGAGAGTAGTTTAGAGTAGGCTCACTTTCTTCCCATACTCTTCTCAATTTCTCATTTTGGTTATTGGTTACAGTTGAGGTTGTTGTGTTTTGTTTTCTCTAGGGTTTGGGTTTAGTCTTGCCAGTATTTTTAAAGGGGGTTGGACCAAAGTAGAAAAGAATAGGTGAAGTCATGCATTGTGGAACTATGGTACGGTCAGGGGCGGGTTCAGAGGGGGTAATGTGGGCAGTTTCCCCTCTCCTCTTTCCCACCCCCACCCCGTTATGTATATGTATATATTGTTCCGGGAATATAAGTTTACAAAAAGATTATTTCTGAATTGTAACAATCACAAGAAATCGAAAGATAAGGGTTAGTAGGAGTTGAGCGGAATACTCTTTCTTTAAAATCTTATTTGATACCTCTTTTAGTGTTAAGTGTGTTTAACCTAGGTTTTTCAGGATAAAACATACTACGATTCTATATTTGAACACTCAAACAAAAGAAGGAGAAACCTACTATGATTCTATATTTGAACACTCAAACAAAAAAATCAGGCGAACTAGAACACTTGTAGAACACAGAAATTTGAGGAGGAAGCATGGTTGCAGTAGGCGTTAGGCGCTAGTCGGGTGCCCGGGTAGCGCCTAGCGCTTAGGCGGGAACCAAAAAACTAGTGGCAGACTTGCAGTTTGACAATTTTAATGAGGATGTTTTCAACATTAAATAAAATAACACATCCAAATAAATGAAATAATGATAAGTCATAAGTCATAACATCAAAACAATATTAAAAATGAAAAATACACAAATATGAAATAATGGTAAGTCATAAGTCATAACATCAAAACAATATTAAAAATTAAAAATACTCAAATATGAAATACTCAATCATCCAATGATTCAAATCATCCAAAGATTCAAAGTATCAATTCAAACTAGTCTACGGGTGTATAAATGTCATATATATATATATATATATATATATATATATATATATATAATGTAAAAAATTAGCAAGGCGAGCTGACCGGGTTAACTCAACCAAAATGGACGAGTTAACTCGGCCAAGTTAGACGGTAAGCGGCCAAGTCGGTCGAGTTAGGCGCTAGGCAGACGCCTAGGTGGCCGGTCGCCTAGGCGGGCGCGTAGGAGGAAAATCGCCACGGTCTAGGGGCACCTAGCGCCTAGACCAATTTTTGCAACAGTGAATCCAAGACATAAATCACATAAGATATTGATCAACCGTCAAAATTAAAATTCAAAACAACGTCGTTTAGGACACATGGACTCGGGTCTACATTGCAAGGTGGATTCGCGTCCAAATGTTCGCAATTTACCTTTTAAAAATTCACAAAAATGATTGAGAATGACAAATTATTCTATGGATTCAGGTCTACATTGCAAGATGGATCCACGTCCAAATGTTCATAATTTACATACTAAATGTTCACAATTACCTTTTAAAAATTCACAATTTGTATACTACGAACACATAATGTTAACATATACGTAATTGATTACCTTGTTTTATATTCACAAGTTCCTTTCAAATATTGTAGTCATACAATATTAACAAATTAGGATTTGATAGCCATGACAGTTGTTATGCTTTTTTACTTTTGATTGAAAAGGTCTTATTTAACATCAAGACTCCATGGCCTAATGGATAAGGTGCTGGTCTACGGAACCAGAGATTCTGGGTTTGATCCCCAGTGGAGTCGTATTGCTTAAAAATAATATGTCATATCGGCACATTACTGTGAAAATTAAAATTCACAATTACGTTCTTTAAGACACATGGACTCGGGTTTACGGAACCTTTGATCCCTAGTGGAACAATATATGTCATATTGGCACATAATTTTATAATCCAAGACAAAAATTACGTAAGATCAATATATGTCATATTGGCACATAATTTTATAATCCAAGACAAAAATTACGTATATATATCATATTGGCACATAATTTTATAATCCAAGACAAAAATTACGTAAGATACTGAACAACTGTCAAAATTAAAATTCAAAGCTACGTCGTTTAGTACACATGAACTCGAGTCTACAATGCAAGGTGGATTCGCGTCCAAATGTTCACAGTTTATCTTTTAAAAATTAACAAAAATAATTGATAATGGCAAATTATTCTATGGATTCAGGTTTACATTGCAAGGTGGATTTGCGTCGAAATGTTTATAATTTACATACTAAATGTTCACAATTTACCTTTTAAAAATTCACAATTTGTATACTACGAACACACAATGTTAATATGTAATTGATTACCTTGTTTTGTATTCACAAGTTCCTTTCAAATATTGTAGTCACACAATATTAACAAATTAGGATTTGATAGCCATGACAGTTGTTATGTTTTTTTACTTTCGATTGAAAGGGTTTTGTTCAGGTAAATTATGCCCTGGAAACGTGTTCACCATGAATGGTGAACACGGGTCCAAACGGCGACATTTTTACGTAAAAAATAAAATAAAATCGCGTATGTGGTGTTAACGGCGCGCGTTTGGTCAGATTATGAATTTTCTGTTATGAGATTATGAATGTACTGTAAATTCATAATCTTATAACAGAAAATTCATAATCGCATAAAAGAAAAACATTTATTAAATTATGAATTAATTTTCTGTTATGAGATTATGAATTTACTGTAAATTCATAATCTCATAACAGAAAATTCATAATTTCATAACAGAAAATTCATAATTTATGAATGTTGAAGAAGCTTGCACTACAGAGGAGCAGCCATGGTTTCGGACGGGAATATAATGTGTAGGCATGGTTCCAAAGTCAATGTGCAGGCATGAATTCATAGTTTATGAATGTCCGAAATCATTGCTCACCTCAAATTAAAGTGAAACCGCGAAATGTGAAAATGAAGAAGAAAAGTCACGCGATTGATTAAGGAAAAAAAAAAAAGATAACGGTGCACTAACACCGTGGGGACCGTGTTCACCATGGATGGTGAACACGGTTCCATAGCATAACGATTGTTTGTTCAACATCAAGACTTTATGGCCTAATGGATAAGGTGTTGGTTTACGGAACCAAAGATTCTGGGTTCGATCCCCAGTGGAGTTGTATTGCCTAAAAATAATATATGTCATATACGCACATAAATTACGTAAGATATGGGCAATTTGTATACTACGAATACACAATGTTAACATATATGTAATTGATAAGTTCATTTCAAATATGGTAGTCACACAATATTAACAAATTAGGATTTAATAACCATGACAATTGTTATGCTTTTCTACTTTCGATTTAATAACCATGACAATTGTTATCCTTTTCTACTTTCGATTGAAAGGGTCTTGTAAAACATCAAGACTCCATGGCTCAATGGATAAGGTGCTAGTCTACGGAACTAGATCCCCAGTGGAGTCATATTGCCTAAAAACAATATATGTCATATAGGCACATAATTTCATAATCCAACACATAAATTACGTATGATATTGAACAACCGTCAAAATTAAAATTTAAAACTACGTCGTTTAGGACACATGGACTCGGGTCTACATTGCAAGGTGGATCCCCGTCCAAATGTTAACAATTTACCTTTTAAAAATTCACAATTCGTATACTACGAACACACAATGTTAACATATATGTAATTGATTACCTTGTTTTGTATTCACAAGGTCCTTTCAAATATTGTAGTCACACAATATTAACAAATTAGGATTTGTTAATCATGACAGTCTTTTTTTTTTCCCGATTGAAAGGGTCTTGTTTAACATCAAGACTCCATGGCCCAATGGATAAGGTGCTGGTCTACGGAACCAGATCCCCAGTGGAGTCGTATTGCCTAAAAATAATATATGTCATATAGGCACATAATTTCATAATCTAACTGAGGAAGATGAGCGGATTTTGAGAGCAAAATGTATGCCTTGTAGAAATCCGAGCAGAGCCCGCAAATACCACCCTAGCGCGCAAGAAAGAACCTCTATACCATATAATTCAATGTCCTTCTAAAAGACCCTTCTATATACAGTGGTGCGAAATTCAATCTTTTTTCAATGTGGGACAAAGGCTACTTATAAGCTTTTTCAATTTAAAGGAGTATACTTTGAAAATCAATTTTCATTCACCCATTATTTGTGGTGATGATCGAACCCCCAACCTCATACTTAAGGGGCGAGGTGCTGAACCACCACGCCAACCATGTTGGGTCAAGTATATATGTCTTTTCGTCTTCACTGAACTTTTTGTTAGCTCCGTCCCTGGTACGGTGGAAGTGAAGTTGTGATTTGGATTCAAAAGCTGTGGATAATGTATGTAGCATCATTTCGGTAATAGAATACAAGTTTAATTAAGAAAATCATACTTAATTAAAACCTTAAAAACTATGAAGTCAACTAATGATACAAGACTACAAGTATCCCACGTATATTAATTAATACCGCATAAATTAGTTTTGAAATTATGAAGTAAATCAGTGGGAGAATGATTCAAACCTTAATTAATTTATCATGGTCGTCTTTGTAGTTTCTTGTTAGCTAAGGAAGTGCCAAAAACAGTTTAATAATATTTCACTAATCAAAGTGATTAACAAACGTAATACATGCCAAGCACCTTGTGTTCAGATGACACTTATGTGACTCCCTGGAGGAAAGGTCACAAGATCGAATTTCGATGGTGGGGTATTGACTCTCTTTAAGTTGCAGCAGATAGAGAAAGAATAGAACAAATACTATCTTGTAATAGAGTCAATAATATTTAAAAAAAAAAAAAAAAAAAAAAAAAAAAAAAAACGTACTACATGTTCAAAAATATAGAGAATGATATGATTGACAAAATGTTCCTCATTTCCTACTTCCTAGCAGCTTCTACGTTATTCATAACATTCGTAATTTCTAAGTCACATGATTGGCATTTGACAATATCTTATAATATTTAATTATTGGTCCGTATTTTTTTTTAGGTTATCTAATACGCAAATTATATGTGTACTAGGTTGCATCATGGCTTCATGGACCTATGTACATAAAAATTCATAAGCATAAAAATAATATTGGAAGTCCATAAAAATAGCATCAATCAATTATCACTCAAATATATTATTTTCTATTTATTTTTGTATAAAAATCTCATTCAAAACATCTTGAGATATTTTAAATGACATTTATATTGATATAATTTTTTTAATGTCATTTTCATAATTTGTGATGAATTTTCAATAGTTATTTTATGAACCTATAGTAATGAATTGATGTACCTACAATTGTAACTTTATTAACTTACAGTACGTAGTATATTTATGTATGTATATTGTAGAGTTACTTCCTCCCAAATACTCTGTCGGGCCGGGGTGGGGGAGGGAGCCCTTAGGGTTGAGGTTCAACCTTTGGAAGAATGTATATATAGTGATTTTATGAATCAACAATAATGTAGTGATTTATATACCTAAAATAATGATTTTATGTACATGTAGATTTCTTTAAACATTGAAATATATATATGTGTGTGTCATTAAAAGATTCCAATTATAACTTTTAATAATATTTTTTATGCATTAATTTTATTTGTATGAAAAGATAAAAAGAGAAAAATACTTTTATTTTAAAAAAAATTGAATGAAAATAAATATAGATATGTCTTAGGTGCACGTTGATACAATATTTAATTAGAGCACTTACTCTCTCAAATGGACTTTTTTATTTATTTTTTTATTACAAGGGAAGGGGATACCCATACAATCTATGCCTACACTGAGGCTCGAAACCTAACCCTCCCACATAGGGGAGCAATCCGATACCAGTGGACTACAAGTCACTTGGTATGGACTTTTTTATTTAGTCACTTGAACATATTAATACTCATTTTAATAAAATAAATGATATTTTTCTTCCTCGAATTATAAAAAAATATCATTTTTGTCACTCAATTATACTATCGCCACCTTTTGTCCCTCAATAATCAACAAAATAGTATTTTTTATCCCTTAATTGTCTATGAAGTTTCCCTTTTTAAGAAATATATTATCTTTAGGAACTAAAGCAACACACATAGTGTGTATTTACTAATATTACATTTATTTACCAGCGGTATGTTATGTTAGTATGTCAATCAAGGGATAAAAAGAGAGTTGAAATGATCAAAATGTCTTTGTATTTAATAATATTTAAATATATGTTATGTTATTAATTATATGTACATTGCACGGGTGACATACTAATTTTAAGTAATAATAACCGGGTAAACAAAGTTCAAATATATAAAAATATCAAAGATGACAAATATTGTAATATTTTCTTTTCATATAGTAAAAAAGGGAAAAAGAAATAGGAGGATAAGGACTACCCTAATGTCCGAATTCAACATATAATTTAATTTTAATGTAACCATGAAGTTGTAGATAGTCAAGAGAGCCACATACAATTTTCGTGTTAACTCATACTTTTGGGTGGTGGAAAATTAAATCTATTTTAAATTTAATTTCAAGTCAATGTTTGACATAACATTAAAAGTTGAAATTAGCATGGAGCACGAGAAATCTCGTCCCATGTTGTTTGCCATTTCATAGCAGCTTCTTGCAACCTTCTTTTTATTTATTTTTTATTTATTTTTTAAAATATGATTCTGCCTACAATAATGAGAAAAAATTTGACAACCCAATCAAATTAGTGGGACGATTGGTTTAGACCATTTTTAGTAACATAGTTAGCTTATTACTTAATTTTATAACTTATTCGATAACTATTAACTGTTTAACTTGCATTGGTTTAATAGCTAATATAAGTGTTTGATTAATAATTTTTTCGTTAACAATTTATTGCTCCAAAACACAAAAATTCAAAAAACTGTTCAAAACAACTTTTTCAATAAGTTTTTTGAGAAAGTCATTTTGCATGTAATTAGCTAACAACTAATTTATCAAACATCTTCCTACAATCAACTAATGCATGCTATCAACTAGTCAAACTCATTAACCCAATCAGCTAACAATTATTTATCAAACACCTCCTTAATAATTGATTTTCTTAGTTTGAATTGAATATAGACTGATTTACCTCTTTGTAGTTTTTTGTGAACAAAAAACTACAAAACGCAATTTACATTGTGTATATACACCATCAGATAATAATTACGAATTTTCCTTGTTACAAAAAAATAAAAAAATAAAAAATTGTAACTCGAATATCAAAATGCTTTAATTAAATAAACCGTGTTGGCTATTGAATAATAATTCGACAATGCTATCTATCAGTATCACACACAGAGATATCGTCACAATCATATCATTTGACATTTGACAATTAATAATAATGGAGTTTAATACTTTAGTTGTTCCTTCTGTATTAAATAGCTACATTACATCAGAATGATCAGATCCTTTGCTTACCAATTCAATATGATATTCAACTAAACAAGAATCAGATCCTAAAGTCTTAATTTACTTTAATTTTCCTGCAAACTTGTCAACCAAGTAACGGACATTAACTGGAAACTGCACATACATATTCAATAAATAAAAAATACAATTCTTCACCAACTCCAAAGTCTTAAGTTACCAATAATACCCATTCTCCAAATTGTATTCACATTCTTGTGATCTTGTCACTTAAGAGCAAAGATTAAAGTTCCTCGTTAAGCTCTACTGAAATTGTTATTCTTATATTAAAATGAAATTTGGTACTATTCTACCTTTCATATATTATAATGTTAGATGGTGAAAGATTGTGATTAAAATTTTTATTTATGCAACTTTATGCAATAACAAGTTAACAACCCATCAACCCACTATAACCACCTGATTTTCACCGGCCATGTTGATTGTTGAATTCCGATCCCGCTATTCTCATCAAGTTTATGTGGATCTTATTAATGTTAGTGTTTAGCCTATAACTTCTTATAGTGGTCTTTGTTTTTATTTTTTGGTTGCATTGTATGCAAATAAAAGTGGTGTTTGGTAAATAATTGTTAGCTGTTTGGGTTAGTGGCTTTGACTAGTTGAGTTAATTATAAAAAGATGTTTGGTAAATTAGTTGTTAGCTGATAGTTTATTACATATAAAATTAAATGACTTTTCAGAAAGCGGATCGAAAAAGCTGCTTTGAGCAGCTTTTTGAATTTTAGTGTTTTGGAGCAATAAGTTGTTAAAGAGCTAATTGATCAAACACTCATATTGGTTGTTTAATTAAAAAACAGTGTCAAACACCTTGTGCTCAAATGACATCCAAAAAAAGTCACAGGATCAAACTCCGGTGGTGGAATAATGACTCTTTGAGTTGCAATAGTTATAGAAAGTATAAACAACATCGAGTGACCGGTTAACTATTTTATTAAACAGCGCCAAAATAAATTAATTCAGTATAACTGAATTATCCTTAACTTGTATGATTCTATTGTTTATGTTTTTCTTATTTTATTTTTTAATTTTGACGGTATCTAATATTTGACCCAAAATAAATAACGTGCGAAGTAAATTGAGGGGAAGCTCACAATCTTTCCGCAATTCCACCGACTAAATTTATTTATTGTAATACTATTTGCTTATGTTTCTTTTTTAATTAAGCTATTATTAATTAGTCATATAATAAAAATATTCATTTCTTGATGTGAAGAATATCATGTCAGATTCTATGCATATATAATGCTTAAAATAAAGAAAAAATTTCATATCGATCATTAATGTAACTACAAAATCAATTACCTAAACTCATTATAAGCTAATTAAAGAAACATATGAAATTTTATATTTAGAAGAAAACACAATCGCCCTATTTGATATCATAGTTAACTTATCAATCAATTTTAATTTATTTGACAATTATTAGCTGTTTGATTTGATTAAACATCGAATACAAGTATTTGATTAATTAGCTTTCTCTAACAACTTATTGTTTCAAAACACTAAAATTCAAAAAGCTGCTTAAATAAGCTTTTTGAGAAAATCATTTTGCATGTAATCATCCATCAACTAACAAATAATTTACCAAACATCTTTCTACAATCAGCTAATACTATTAACTAGTCAAATCCACTAATCCAATCAGCTAACACCTATTTACCAAACACCCTCAGTGATTTTTAGTTCACATATATACACTTTTGAAAGTACAGTCAATGATCTTTAAACTAATTAAATGATATCGTTTTCAAGGATTAGTCATCATATATTTAACTCGTATAGATAAACTTTTTGTTATAGTTGCATCATGTTTGCACCACACCCCCAAAAAAAAAAAGAAGAAGAAGAAATAAGTAAAGTTGCTTGATTTTGACTCAATAAAGAAGAGAAATAGTGTGTATAATGATATGTGAACAAGCTAGTCTATTTTATTCTCATATATATGAAATATAAGCAGCTCAACTTACCATGAAAATATATAAGGGTGTTTGGTAAATAACTGCTACTTAGTTGAGTTAATGAGTTTGATTAGTTGATAATATTAGTTAATTGTAGAAGATAGTTGGTAAATTAGCTGTTAGCTGATAGCTTATTACATAGAAAATGATTTTCTCAAAAAGTTGATCGAAAAAGTTACTTTGAGCAACTTGTTGAATTTTAACATTTTAGAACAATAAATTGTTACAAAAAGCTAATAAATCAAACACTCGTATTGATTGTTTAACTAACACTACAAGAAAAATGCACATAGACAACACTAGAAAGACAACAGTTTTTAAGAAAAGTGTTGTCTTTTGTATAAAAGACAACAGTTTGGTCCAAAACCGTTGTCTTTGATGCAACCCTTTTTTCAAAGACAACGGTTTTTACTTAACCGTTGTTATAAGTGTGTTGTCTTTGTGCATTTTGTGAAAAGACAACACCACAACGACAACGGTTTTTTAAAACTGTTGTCTATGTGCGTTTTTTTTTTTTTTTTAAAAAGACAACGGTTTTTTTAACCGTTGTCATTGGTGTGTTGTCTTTAAGCGCATTAGAATACACAACAGTAGAAAGACAACGGTTATTTAAAACCGTTGTCTTTGTGCGCTCTTTTTTTAAAAAAGACAACGGTTTTATTTAACCGTTGTCATTGGTGTGTTGTCTTTAAGCGCACTAGAATACACAACACTACAAAGACAACGGTTTTTTAAAACCGTTGTCTTTGCGCATTATTATTTTTTAAAAGACAACGGTTTTATTTAACCGTTGTCATTTATGTGTTGTCTTTAATAGCACTTGAATACACAACACTACAACGACAATGGTTTTATATAACCGTTGTCGTTGCACGTTCTTTATTTGTTTAAGACAACGGTTTTATTTAACCGTTGTCTTTGATATGTTGTCTTTAAGCGTATTTGAATACACAACATTACAAAGACAACGGTTATAAAAACCGTTGTCTTTGCGCATCGTTATTTAACAGTTGTATAAATTAAAATAAAAACAAGGATGTTAATAACAAGAGTCGAACCTTTGACCTCAAAATTAACAAATAAGGTCTAACCAACTAAGTAACACAAACTCTTATGATTAAATGTGCAACATTTGGTATATAACTGGGTTGCTTCTGTGTTGTTTGTGAAAACCAAAACAACAATTTTAGAAAATAGTTGAAGGATCCCCTAGGAAGAAAAGAACTCAAGACCTCTAACATAATAAACTAAACTAAACCCACCAAGCCACACCAACACTTATATACTCAAGTGCAACATCTATGATATAACCAAATTGCTTATGTGTTGTCTTTAAGAACCAAGACAATGATTGTATAAAATAGATTAAGGATGCCACCACAAAGGATAAAACCCAAGACCTTTAACATAACAAACAAAATTAAATCCACCAAACCACACTAACTCTTATATACTAAATTGTTACACCTTATGTTTTAGCTATTATATCCTGAGTGTTAACAAGAATAAAAATGTAATTAAAATTTTTTGTCCAAATATATTGCATAAAAATTTAACAAAGAAAGAATATAATTCAAAAGTTAATTTAATAATTATATTTTCGTTCATATTTAAATATAAAATTATTCACCAAAATTTCAAAGTCAATTCATTAAAGTTTTATTTTCAATTATATTACAATTAAGACCAATCTATGAATTCAAAAAAAAAAATAAAAAAAATATCAAGTATAAAAAACAATAGATTATATCTATAACATTTTTGATATTTGTTATAGACCTAACTTTTTTAGGCTCTTATTAGTATAGTAGATAGTAGGTATAAAAATATATATCTTCTTCTTCTTCATATATATATATATATATATATATATATATATATATATATATATATATATATATATATCTTCATTCTTTTTAACTTTTTTTTTTTGTTTCCCTCCCAAACAAAAAAAAAAAAAAAGAAATTCACACGCCTACAATTAGCGGAAAAAATTCCCTCCCAAACAATTTCTCCCTAACACTCCATTGCAACTTTTCCATCTCCTTAGTCAGTGCTTTCTACCGAGAGTGTCCTCTCGTCGCCTCCAACCTCCGACGCCGTTGCTGCCGCCAACCTCTGCCGCCATCGCCGCCTCCCTCCTCTACAGCCGTGAATAAGTCAGTAAACTTGGTTTTGAAAAATTGAAGGTTAGCTTTTCTCTTGTAATGTAATAAGCTATGAAATTCATCCAAATATTATCCATTTTCGCCCTCTCCTTTCTGCGGCTCAGTCTTCCCTTAGCATCTCTCTTGATTCTTCTCTAATCTCACCCAAAAACCTTCTACTCTCATTTAAACAAAATCTCAGATCTTTAATTTCTTGCTCAGCCTTTAATCTCTGAGGATGGAGTCCCCAAAGCACGCGGTCACGTTCTAGGCGGAAGCAGCGCCATAAACGTCGGTTTCTATAGCAAAGCCGATGATGTTTCGGCCGGAGCTCAAGAGTGGACAATCAGCGGTGAGAGATTGTTTGCTGGAATGGATTCGGTCAGAGGTTTCTCTCTATTTTTATTTCTCAGTTCAAAGTTTCATGCTCAGATATATTGTTGTTGTGGGAGTCTACGCTCATATCTGCTGCTGTTGTGGGAGTACGCTCACATCTACTCCTTTTATTATATCTACAACGGAACTAGCGACGGAGGGATAGAGGAGGTGGCGGCGGAGTTGGAAATCGGCCGGTTTGTGCCCATATTTCTTCATCACTCCACCCTGCCACTCACAATCGACGAAGTAAGCTTAAAACTATCATCTTTTTTTGCTTTTGTTGCTCTTGTAAAATTTTTTAAAGTAACTTTTGGTGGATTTTGTGAATTTATGCATATTCTTTCAAATAAAATCATTTAGTGATTTTAGTTTTTTACCTCTGTAATTCGATGGTAAGGCTGGTTAAGCTAAGATTATGTGTTTGGGAACATGGTGAAAATGATGGATTATCCAGAATCTTGAACCAATCAGGATAGAGTTGGCCAAACACTTACAAAAATTTTAATAAATTAGTAAATTACAGCTGTGTGTTTGCAAAATTGCTGGGAGAAAGGTATGCAGTTGTATGTATCTGTTTTGTATTTCTGTAACCTGGTGAATTAAACATATGGAATGCTAAAAATGTGTAAATTCATTGATAAATATGTTGATATTGTGTCAATACTCGAACTAATTAGTAGATAGAGCTTCTTCACACCACCTTTGGCATGGTTCTATGGATGTTTGCATAACTGAATTCCTTTTATCTACTGCTCGGTTCCTTTTCCAACAGGTTTTTCTCCCTTCAGTTGGACTGAATACCACCTTTCTCTCTTTGTAACTATTATAATGACATCTTAATTCCTGTTCCCTGTGATTCTAGATTGTAAGTGCTCACCAAAGTTCATTTGAAGATGACAAGTACAGTGAAATCAAGTATCTCTTTCCTTGTAATTCATGGAAGATGATTACGGTATGTCGGTATCCATTCTTATAGAATTCTATGTTAACGGCAATATTGTGATTTTGACTATTGTTATTCTAGTGAAAAACATAAACTTATTTATCAAACTCTTGATTTATAACCACAATATCCTTAGCAATTATCCACTTATAACTCCAACATGCTTCTTCTATGTTTCAGGAAAATGATGTGACGGTCATGATTTCCCTCCTTAAGTCCTCGAAACATGAACATTTTAAAAAATTGATCAGTCCCTTAATTAAGCCATTGCTGCGTTTCCTTTATCTCCCTTGTTCATCAAGTGGTAAATACATTTTTTTTGGTCAGGCTTAATTTAAAATCTTCAATTGATAATACGTTCTTTTTAGTGGTCATGGTTGGTGCTTCATTTCATTAGAACTAATGTTCTTTCTTTTATTTGCTCTCTATATTGTAGATTTTATGCGAAATCTAGGATCTGCGTGGTTATTGATTGGTGGCTTATGCTACCATCTTTTGATTAGCTACACATATTTGGAACCCACTGTAAAATACTCTGTAAAGCACTCACAGCTGACAGAAAAAAATTGCTTGTCTCCAGCTTGAGAATGAGGTATTTTTATATTTAGTTTTTTAAACCACTTCAACTTGAATTACTACTTTTCAGCCTCGGGTTTTGCCATTTCACTCCATGGGGAGAAACTTGTAAATTTTAAAATTTTGAGTATTATGTTATATGCATAAATGCATAAATTACCCTTTGAGATGATTGAACAAAAAATATTTAATTAATTAAGTTCACTAAAAGTGGATCATTTAGTGTTTGTTTGGCTCAAGTTATTGCGACAAACAAATGTTTACTAGATATCAATCTTATTGGGACAGTCCAAAGTGGAAAGTTTTGTGAGCAATACTTAGTCTAAAACTGTGACAAGCTCTCATGCCCAAGCTTGATGTGAAAATTCTATTCATGATCTTACAGGTAAGAAGAGAGTGTACTTATTTATCAGGGTCCTTTCAGTTAAGAGAAGATGACAGACATACCAAGGTGTTAGAAGAACTCAATACCAAGCTGAAGAAACTTCAAAAACATGTAAGGAGAGTTTTATTATCCATATGTTTTTAATGTTGTTGATTCACTTGATTGTTAACATGCTTTGCATTTATTACCAATGTCATCTCTAGTCTTAGCAATTACTAGTTATATGTTTATATATATATATATATATATATATATATATATATATATATATATATATATATATATATATATATATATATATATACATATATATATAAGCACACATGAATTCTGATAACTCGGGTATTATGCCAGGACAGAAAAACATTCACTATTGTGCTTGAATGCCAAGAGGAGTAAGTAGCTAGTGAAAAGGGGGAAGCTTTAAGGTATAAATACTAGTGAACTTTGCAAACTCTTGTATTAAAAGTTAAATTTCTAACTTATGTAATTATTCTTTGCAAACTCTTGTAACTCTTGTATTAAAACTTTACAAAAACATTCACTATTGTGCTTTAAATACAAGCTTAAGTTCAAAATGGAGAAGGAAACCTCCATGACAAGTCTCTTGTTACAAAGGACAACACAAGTAAGTTGTGTTATTCAGTTTTTGCTTTCTTATCAATCTATCTTCTGGCTTTGCACCTTTACTGCCTCATTTGTATAGAAACTCATTTTATCACTTAGGAGGCACAACATCTTTAGCTTGCATCTTTGTGATTTGTATGGAATCAAAATTGCTAGGTCTTGCGTTAGCCACAGTTCCTATTATAGTCAGATTGTCATCTAAACAAGCCAGCTCATCAACTACTCATATGGATATTATCACCCGGATATCAATTCTTGTTAACTGTTCTCCTTGTGCTCCAGGAGTTGTGTATGGATATTATCACCCGGATATCAATACATGTAGTTCTAACAAGTTGATTATGACAAAGCGGTTATTGATCTGGTGCGTTCAGAATGGGCCGATATTCTATCATCATGTTATATAGAGTAGGTATGATTTGACGTTGTGATCATTTAGACTTGGTTTGTGGATCAGAATTGTTTTTTGTAGTATTATGACTTGGATGATGATTTGATTATAATTGGTCATGCTCAGTATTTAGACTTGTTATTATGAACCTTGTTTAGCTTGTGCAATGTAACTACACTTGGCCATGGTGAATGGATAAATTGTTTTTTTTTTATATGATTAAAATTTAAGCAGGTTAAAAACGGGTTGAGACAACGGTTAAAAGTTGTCTATTTTACAATAGACAACAGTTTGAAACTGTTATCTTTTTTACAAAAGACAACAGTTTGAAACTTTTGTCTTTTCTACAAAAGACAACAGTTAAAAACCGTTGTCTATGTGCATCACTTTTAACAACACCGGTTTCAACAACATTGAATTGACAACGGGTCAAAAATCGTTGTCTTTGGAAGAAACGACAACGGTTTAAAACCGTTGTCTATGTTCGTGACTTTTAACAACACCGGTTTCAACAACACTTAATAGACAACGGTTAAAAAACCGTTGTCGTTTCTAGAAAAGACAACGGTTATTAACCGTTGTCTATGTGCGTGACTTTTAACAACACCGGTTTCAACAACACTTAATAGACAACAGTTAAAAAACCGTTGTCGTTTCTAGAAAAGACAACGGTTATTAACCGTTGTCTATGTGCGTGACTTACAACAACACCATCTTCAACAACACTTAATAGACAACGGTTAAAAAACCGTTGTTGTTTCTAGAAAAGACAACGGTTATTAACCGTTGTCTATGTGCGTGACATACAACAACACCGACTTCGACAACACTTAATAGACAACGGTTAAAAAACCGTTGTTGTTTCTAGAAAAGACAACGGTTATTAACCGTTGTCTATGTGCGTGACTTACAACAACACCGGCTTCTACAACACTTAATAGACAACGGTTAAAAAACCGTTGTTGTTTCTAGAAAAGACAACGGTTAAAAAACCGTTGTCTATGCGCGGGACTTACAACAACACCGGCTTCAACAACAGAAATTATACCCCTACGACAACGGTTATTAACCGTTGTCTATGTACATTTTTCTTGTAGTGTAAGTCAAACAACTAATACTAATTAAATTAATCAAAATTGACCGATAAATTAATTATGTTACCAATGACCATAATCTTCCCAACATGACCATAATCATGCATGTATCAAGTGCGGATGTTCTTTGCTGGTTTTGTTTGAGTGTCGTTTTTGTTTTGATTTCTTTTCCCAGTAACCAAATTGAATGAATAAATAAATAATCAAAAACAACGAACGTTGTTGGTTGGTATCAACTAATATATTTACACAACAAATGTGGGTGAAGACACTAAGTAATATATAATATATTTACACACAAAAGGACATCGAAATTGGAAAACAACAACAGCATACTTTTGACTAACTTTATTGAATACGTGCGTGGGTTGCTAATTAAAGGGAAAATATGTATATGGTTATAATTAATGGACTATGTCTATATAATTAATAGACTAAAATCACTATTTTTTCTATTACATTTTAATTTAAAAGTATTACATTTTTTATCAAAAGTATCACATTTTTCTTACAAGTATTGCACTTTCTATCATAAGTAACAATTAAACAATAATATCTATGATTAGTATTACATTTTTTTTCATAAAAAACTATTCAACTCTAAATATTACATTTTGATTTGAAAGTATTACATTTTTTCTTCAAAAGTGTTGTATTTTCTCTTATATATAATAAAAATTTATTCCTATTTAATATTACATTTTCTATATAAGTATTATATTTCTATTATGACCTGACCTATCTCAAAAATAAGAATCAATAAAATTGTCTCTAGACTTGCTCATAATTTTATACATAGAGGGTTACAGTCGTACCTTTGTGAGGTGATTAGGTTTTATATTAAACTTTTGTTGTTTTTGGCTACTTACTACCTACTGGAACATATGAGCTAGGCAACAATTCTAGAGTACCTACATAAATTTAATTTTTATTTTTAGATTATTAGTTTTTTTTAATAATCGACTAAAACCATGAGTATAGTATCAGATAATTTCATTTTCACAGTTATTATAATATTTTCATCAATATTTTAGTCTGATTATATTTAATCTTATGATTTTACTAATTAAAGCATTTCAGTCGCTTATCAGGTGGCGTAGAGATTCGAATTCATGGCCTTTGGTCTAAGTCTGATACCAAATTGAAGCATGTGCTTCATCCCAACTAAAAGTCTAAGCTCATAGTTAGATTCACATTAATGGTTATATGCTCAAAATTACTAAACTCCCATGTTCCTTAGATTTTACTAAACTCCCATGTTCCTTAGATTTTACTAAATTCCAATGTTCCTTAGATTTTACTAAACTCCTATTTGATTGCTTGAATATATTTTTATAATTTATTGTATCGTGAAAATCGACGTTTTAACGTTCTTAGTACCCTAGGAGGAAGCAAATCAGTTTTAAGGAAAAACACCGAATATCATATGCCTTGAATTTCTATTGGTATTGAGATTGAAATTAATTTTCTGGAAATTATTTATTTTCAAATTGTTGTAAAAAATTTCCAACATGAACAATAAAGTTTTTTTTTTTTTTTTTTTTTTTTTTTTTTTTTTTTTAGTTCACACTTCTGTATTTCATTATTTTTTTTTTCTCCAAAATTGACTATTAACTCGTTGATTTATAAGTTAAGTGATATTCTTTTCAAAATTAACCATTTAACTCGTATAAACTTTTTAATAGGAGAATACTATGGATTTCATTTTTACACATACACACAAGCCTAGCTATCTTATTCTTATAGGAAATATATAAGTAGCTTAGAATGAGAATATATGATTATGTATCAGGCTAAGGTTCACTAACAATGTGCGCTACTTGAGTTATTATTATTTTTTTATATATTATATTATATTATTTGTTGGAGGAGAAAAATAAATGAAATATTTATTTTAAGGGTAAATATGTCCATTTAACATATCAGGTGGAAAAAAATCACTTAAATAATTCAGGAAAAAAAAAGTGCTATAAGTATATAACTCACGGGAGAAGCTGCAGGCGAGGGCTGCGAATTAGCTCAACGAGGGTGTTCGTGGGAGAAGCTGCAGGCGAAATCCCTTCGCCAGTTTGGCAGGTTTCCACCGAGCACCACTCAGACCCACCGGAGCAGAGAGATGATGAAGGAGACGTGGTGATGGAGCTTGATCGAATTCCAGAGCTTGGAGTTGGGGCGGTTGAGCGGGCGAGCCAATAAATGGCCGTGCCCGTTTTCTGTGTTGTTTTTCTGGTTTTTGTTAGTGTTTGTTGTCCCTCTTCTTTCTTGTTGGTTTTTATGGATTGTCTCCTATGGAACTGTCAAGGTGCGGGTGGCAAAAGGTTCCACCGCGCACTTAAGCACTTTCTCCGGGCCTATAAGCCATCTATCCTAGGCTTATTTGAGCCAAAGGTTTCAGGAGCTCAAGCTAATTACATCTGCTCTAATCTAGGTTTCTCGGACTGGATCCGAGTTGAAGCCGTTGGTTTCAGCGGCGGTATTTGGGTCTTCTGGAAGGACCCGGTATATATCTCCGTTTTGTATACTCATCCACAATTTGTTCTTCTGCAGGTGTCTCAGGTAAACCAGGATCCATGGTTTTTCCACCTGTCTACGCTAGCCCCACCCACCACCTCCGGCGCCGCCTTTGGCATGATCTCACTCAATCGAGTAGAGGGATCACGGGGCCATGGGTGGTAGCGGGGGATTTCAACTCGGTGGTAAGCCGTGAAGAGACGAGCAATTACAACTCGTTCTCAACCCAACGGAGCGCGGATTTTACACACTGGATCCAAAGTGAATGACTGCTCGACCTTGGTTTCTTTGGCCCTAAACTGACCTGGGTCAAAGACGGTTCGGTGGATCCTATTAAAGGAGCGCGGCTTGACCGGGCCCTTGCAATGTTGATTGGAAGTTACGGTTCCCAGATGTGGTGGTCATTCACCTACCGCGCATCTCTTCGGATCACTCGCCGATCCTCTTTCAGAATAAGGGGGGCGTAAGCGCTCTAATATTTCTCCTTTTCTTTTTCAGGCGGCTTGGCTCACACACCCGGACTTCAAAATGGTGGCCAGCAACTATGGAAAGAAGACCAAAGTCATGGGACCAATATCAATTCGTTGGCCGAAGGCCTTAATACGTGGAACAAGTTAGTCTTTGGAAATATTCATACTCGCAAGCGGATTCTTATGGCAAGGCTAGCAGGGGTGCAAAAGTGCATGGCAAATGGTTTCCATGGAGGACTGGGAAAGCTTGATAAGAAGCTGTAAATAGAGTTGGAGGATACTCTCCACCAGGAGGAGCTACACTGGTTTCAGCGTTCCCGCGAAGACTGGATAGTGTCTGGGGACAGAAACATGGCTTATTACCATGCGACCACCAAGATCAAACAAGCTCGCAACTCGATTTCAGGTTTGCGTAATGAGAATGGCGAGTGGCTCACAGAGGATAACGGCCTCCGCGAGCATGTGAAGCAGTACTACATTCACCTCTTCTGAGAGGAACCAGAGAATGATGGGGGAGGTCAAATAGAGGCAGATTTCCCACGCTTGCGCAACCGAAAGTGGGACATATTCAACAGGATCATCACTAAAGATGAGGTGCATAATGCCCTTAAAGATATGCAGCCCTTCAAGGCACCTGGCCCGGACGGCCTACATGCAGGTTTTTATCAACATATGTGGGACGAAACTGGGGACAACTTGTTTAATATGGTCAGGGATGCAATCAACACGGGTCACTTATCGAATGGCATTAACGACACGCTGGTTGCCCTTATCCCAAAGGTCAACACCCCGGAAACAGTGAAACAATTCCGGCCCATCAGCCTTTGCAACGTCAGCTACAAATTGATAACTAAGACTATCACTAATAGATTGAAAGATGTCTTACCCAAGTTGGTGGGCCCGTTTCAGAGCTCCTTTGTGCCAGGAAGGCAGATATCGGATAATGTCATCATCTATCAAGAGGTTATGCACTCCATGCGCGAGAAACGGGGGAAGAAAGGGTATATGGCGATTAAACTTGACCTTGAAAAGGCTTATGACTGTTTGTCCTGGGACTTTATCCAGGATACTTTAGACAAAGCTGGCTTTAATACAGGATGGAGGGCCATTATTATGGAATGTATTCGTACACCAAAGCTGTCCATCATTTGGAACGGGGAGCGGCTAGAGCCGTTCAGGCCTGAGCGGGGCATCCGTCAGTGGGACGCAATGTCTCCGGCTATTTTCGTCCTTTGTATGGAACGCCTGAGTCAGTTAATAGTTAAGGAAGTTGAGAAAGGCGTCTGGAAAGGCGTTCAGTTAGCGGTTGAAGGGCCCACGATATCCCACCTCTGTTTTGCGAATGATATAGTCCTTTTCACAGAGGCAACGATTGATGAGGTTGAGGTTGTCCACAAGTGTCTAGAGAGGTTCTGTCTCGCGTCAGGCCAAAAATTGAGTCTGGCCAAATCACAGGTGTTTTTCTCCAAAAACACGCAGCCGGGCCTCGCCGATTTGATTGCAAGCCGTCTAGGAGTCAGCAAAACTAACGATTTGGGCAGGTACCTTGGAGTGCCCACTTTCCACGGGCGGGTGACCTGCAATACTTTCTCCAGCCTCCTCGAACGAGTGTCCGCGAGACTGGAAAGATGTAAGTCGAAGACCCTGTCTTTAGCGGGGCGCGTGGTGCTTGCCAAATCTGTGCTCAATGCCATCCCCGTCTACACCATGCAGACCACGGCGCTCCCGAAAGGTGTTTGTGCTGAAATTGAGAAAAGAATCAGACAGTTCATTTGGGGTAACAGAGGACCTACGGAGGGAAATAAGATGCACCTTGCCAATTGGGACCTTGTCACAACAAGTAAAACGAATGGAGGGCTGGGAATTCGACGCCTTCACGACATGAATACGGCTTGTATGATGAAGCTGGGGTGGAGACTCAGAACGGACTATAAGCACCTGTGGGCCCGGACTCTTCTGACAAAGTACGGGAACCAGTTCGAGGCTAGCAGTAGGCGAAGCACTTCAAATGTTTGGCGGGGCATTTGTGCGGCGAAAGAGCAACTGGAGAAGGGTATTACGCATGTCGTTCATAATGGAGCATCCACGAAATTTTGGATGGACACATGGCTCACTCCTACGCCCCTCTATGACCAATTGCTAGTTCCCCTTAGCCTCCCTGATCTCTACGCTCCCGTGGCAGACTACTGGATCAAAGATCATGGGTGAATTGGGAAAAGTTGGAACATACCTTGCCGCTTGAAACGCAGCAAAGGCTTGCGGGTTTTGTGCTCTCTGATACAGATAGAAGTGATAGCATTGGATGGGGATTCG